CACCCTGCCGTGATAAGACGGGCATGGGCTTATTATTCTAAGTTTTTAGTAATGTTCTCATTTCGTCCTTTCATATTTAAGTAATCCTCCCAACGATTGACCTGCTCATGGAATACACACTGCTTGAAGTCGACTGTCCACATTCTTCACTTCATTCATGCGGCTTTGATCTTCTTTGTCTCATCGAGTCGAATACAGTGGAGAGGATCACCGTATGAATGAAGAACTTCACTCAGCAGTGCCCTTTCATACATGACCATTGTTCATTGTTGATCGACTACCCATTGACAGCAATTTGTTTTCATGAAGGTAATCCGCCCTGCAGCAGTTAGTGTTATATTAGTTGGTACACAACGAAGTTAAATGGAAATCGTTTTCAAAAGTATTACAATCTGAAATCCTTAAAACATGGTATATCTACACTACTCCTCCGAATTATTCAACAATCTAGGCCGAAATATTTGTTTCATAGGGAGCAACAAGTGTTTATCCGATTAGTGCTTGGACTAAACGATTCTGAGACCCGAATTCCTGCTAGTGCTTTGTCTCCAACCAACCAACAGGTCATCATGCAACGTTGGGGGTCTCCAAATGGAAGACTGAGGGAGTGGGGGCTTAATCGAGGACAAAAACGAGTCGTTTGCTTCCTTGAACCTCAAATGGATCCAGGAAACAGAATTCCTCTTTCTCTTGCGTAGATTTGGCATAGACGTCCTGTGTTTACATGGACACACTCGCCCACATGTGCGTGGGTGTGTTCGCGTTTACGCGGATTGTATTTTATCAGGCAATTCGACAATAATTCTGCAATAAAGACGGAAGTATATGGGAGGAGGTTAGGAGTCGCTTCTAACAAATAAGCTCCCGTCTACTCTGGGGGAGACTGGCAAGCTACTAGTGAGTACACCCAGTCCTGACATTCAGAGATCAGGAAGATATGGAGGCGCCACTGCAACAAAGACGTGGGATCGGTCTCCGCGCCATGGCTCACCAATCCTTCCACCCGTCCGGGGTCGGTAAATTGGTTTCAAACTTCTCTGGAAGGATAGTAGCACTGGCTAGATATATGATTAGGTCACCGCGAGTCATTGTAACGGCCAGATATGCATTAAATAACCTCCAAATCAGGCTTAATGTAGTCGAATGTATAGCCCATCCCTCAAGGATTGATCAACACCGACAGCTTTGCCCTTTATTGTTCAACAAAGTGTAATCTTTCCTTGGAATCTCGTATTCTGGGCACCAAAGCGAGTGAATCAACAAGATTTCGTCAAGCATCTCGATTTTCCCACGATATATTTCTGTTTGTTGCTGCCGATTTTGTTCATAAGATTCGAATATTCCGAAGTTTTTCAGTTTGCTAGTGATTTAGATTCTTAACAGAATTGAAAATTAAAACAATACTGCAGGATCGTTATGCATAAGCAATACATTAACGTATATTCTAAAGGTCTAATGAGCTGCTAACTCCTGAAGTACTTTGTTCTTTCAAAAATTACACGGAGTGTTTGAAAGACAAGTACTTTCCACGACATGTTAAGCATATAAAAATGAATTTCGACTGGCAATTGATTGTTCAAATTATTCTTAAAGGCACGTGTAGCGCAGTCGTCGTAGGCGCCCTGAAACACACACGTGAAGTCGATTCCTGCGCCCATGACTCACCAAACCTTCCATCCCTCCGGGGTCGGCAAATTGGTACCAGACTTGTCTGGTAGGATAGCAGCACTGCTCAATACATCGGTAGGCTACCGCTAGTCATTGTAGAAGTCAGATATGCATCCAATCATCTCCAAACCATGCTGAACGAAGTAGAATGCGTGGCGATTGATCAACGCCGAGAGCTTTATCCTTTAATTGACTGTTGACATTGTTGACTGATTTGCAATCACAATGCTGGAGCATTGTTATCGCACACAATATCTGGATCTAAGAAATACCAACACATAGTCCATACATGTTGTGAAACCGACTGCCAAACGATAGCGTAGTTCACGAGTTTTTTTTCGCCATAAACAAAACTTTGAAGGGCTTCGAAAGCAAAGTATATAGGAGAACTTGAAAGATACGCCGAAGATAGAAACACTGTAAGCAGTGCAAAAATGCATAGAAATGCTAAATTATAAGGCAAAGAGTACGGTAAAAGTCGCTAAGCAGTTTGCTTGGGGATAATTGGACCCGCATGATCTGATATCAATTCATTGTGAATGTACCGGAAAACTTGATATCAAGACCGTTTTTTAAAACCTTTATGCCTAGGAGGTCAGTACTAGAGCAATGATTTGCAAGGGTTTCACCCTATCCCTTAAAGGCAATTGTAATAATTTAACTTTCGTGCTCTTTCCCACACGAGGATTTTACATTAAAATGCTCAAAGGTGCAGAGATGTTGTAGACCTACAGAGTAAAACACTAGATCTGGTATTATTGTCCTTCATATAAGTGTAAAGATCGCGATTCCTGAGAAATAATTAGAGCGGTGTAAGTAATTACAACACTATAAACAACAAGCACTTTCTCACTAGAATAATACAACTGTTCTATGAATTAGGTCAAGCCGATGATGGAAACCGGAGCTTTCGCAGTCAAAACGAGAGCTAAACTGCTTGGATGTTTAACCATCTCGACGTGTCCCCCTTATCACCTGAAATGTTGAGCAACCGCATTTTGTGAACATTCCCATGGCATAAATTTTTGTAAGATACCGAACAAAATGTGTTGTATCCATTCTTACTGAGCTCGAAATTTCCTTGTTTGGTACTAGTTAATGGGAAGTCGAGCTAGGTAACATCTATTGATAATGTATGAAGGTGTAGTGTTTGCGGACTTGTTATTCATTAACCAAGTTTGTAAAGAAAGGCTGTTCCTCGCACAGTATTGAGTTGCTAAACGAAGCTAAACTAAAACTTGGTCTTTAAAAACGGCCTCTGGCTATATTCAATGCCGATACCAACGTCGACGTAAAGAAAGAATAGTGACAACCTGATACAATCTCGGTCATAGGTCATGTTAAAATTAGAATGGGACAACAGGAAAGTGGATGTTAAAAGTGGAAGTGGAATTACATCATCTCCACACTTCGCATAATATCGTGTTCACAACACCAAGCATTGGCCATCAAAATCAGTGTTGGCCGACTTCGACAACGCTTAAGACATGATTAGCGTCCGATTAAATCTAACAGAAACGACGGTCATAAAGAATGAATTCATTTCATATGTTCTATTGACGCTTAACAGAATGGATAACCAGTTATACGATCTTATAAACTGATCTTGTTGAGCCGATGCGAGGTTGGTATTTTTGTGTAACAGTAGTCTTATATTCGGTGAAGCGTTTATAGCATTAATGAAGATTAAACTTTCACGTAAACGTCGTATTGACCAAAAGGCTACTCACCATGATGTCACGACTAGGATTGCCCACATTTTTTTTGCAATTGTAGGTTTCATTTCTTGCTCCTGCATCAACGACATAGAGAACAGTATGCAGTGTCACTTCTTCTTGATAAATTTGCCCACTGCACATCAAGAAGAAACTGAGACCTTACTGCCAGGACCGACTTTCTATTAACTTCGGCATTGATCAAGTGATTTTCTTCGTATTTTTGTTGAGCAAACGCGAGGTGTTATTATTCTTTGTTCACGATTAAGCTGACGTTTCGGCGGATTTCGCCTTCCTCAGAGCCGCTTCCTATGAGGTTTCCACTAAGTACTGAGACCTTACTTCTTTTTGTCAGATAATGACAAACACAATAGCAGAAACTAAAAGTCATTCACCTCCCTCTGAAAGCATTATCTTAACGAAAACCATGTGCAGACAAATCAAAGCGAGTCGTTTGAATCAAAAGCCTCCTTCACTTACCAGGTCAGCCACTTCCTTATTCCACGTTATGCCACAGTACAAGTCTGTGACTCAGTGATTGATATGGTTCTCATCAAAGTTTATAGATGTTCGAAAGACACAGAAACTTCCATGTTTTGGAACGAGCCCTCCCCCACCCCCGGGAAAATAGAATAACGTGATCCTCCCATGTTTAATGCTTATGGTAAATCTTTTCTGAACTTTTCTTCACACTAAACGGTTAAGATTAGGAAAGAGAAATAAAGGCCCATAGGATTGACGTCTTCCATAATTTCACCCGCTTTGTTAATTGTTTTATGTAATTTCACTAGACATACCTTATACATTCTGATATACTGCAACTTCAATCTCTACTAGTAAACAACGTGCACATACAAATGAAATTACAATAAAATCAGATTGTAGCTTCTAATCACGTAATAGTGCATGGACGTGGAGATCTATAAGCTAAACAGATCGATTTATGAGAAGGATTGTAGAAGCGGGTTCGATAAGGTGGTGGTGGAAAGTGAGAAACATACTGACGTCTACAACTACATTAAGAAAAGCGGTGAAGCGAACCATGGAGAACTGTTGACGGCAAAAGCTTAGAAAACTGATACCATCAAAGCGACTTCGTTTAGTCATAAACAATATAATTATCGAAAGAATAAGTGGAATTCTACACATGAAACAATGCTAGAATAATGAGGACCAGATGCAATTGAATGTTGCAAATTACCAAACAAACAAAAGAAAAAAGGTTCAGCAACAATACATATTCCTGCATTCTTTTTTTGCTCAGCTCTAAGTGGAATTGATGTGCGAATATGAAATTGGCCAAAGATTCAATCCAACATACTCACTCAAGATCTACTCCGAGTTTACTTCTTTTTGGGCTTCATGTTGAAATCATTCCATATTGTTGACAATTACTAGGGAACTATCCATAACGTTACCACAGATTACACTCAAGTCTTATCTACTGCATATACTAGCTTACATTTCATTCTGACGAAGAGCATTTGCATTTAGTGAAGGCGATGACTCGGATGCTAAGAATTTTTAGCGCCTATTTCAGTGGCTTTCCCTCAAGTTTTCTTTTTCATAAAATGAAGCAATGAAATCAGATTTAGATCCAGGTGACAATAGTGCGATTTACCCTTTAAACGCATTAGAATATCTTTTTGGCGTTGGTATGTAATCACCTTCATTAGTCGAGTTCGACAATCGTTTTCTGCCAGAGATTACTCCTTTTCTAACCGAAGAAGTAGAATTTTTTAAGTCTTTAAATGGCTCACGACCATTTGGAGTACTGGTAGAGAGTGGGTTACCCTCTCGATGAGCGTTTGACTTTCTTCGTTCTGAGAACACGTGCTCGTAGTCCGCCACCGGAGTACCCCATTCACTCAGCAGAACATCAGCTAACGACGAATTGGATTTTTCAACCTAGGAACAACAGAGAATTGTGAGACAATTGGCGTAAACATAGGTTTAAAGAGTGCAACTTTAGTGTTTACCTGATTTACGAGTTTTTATACAAAAAGTTATGCACGCTAACATCATCCATGATGAAATGGAATGACCGTTGGAGTGACTTCAAGGCTCATCCCCTTCAACGAAACGTCGAACAAACAAAAAATCCAAAAAAACAGCACCATTGACTTCGACTTTTATTTTGTACTAGAACTGCGGCATCCGAGTTTATCCTCTCCAGCAGTGAAAACTAAAGCTACGAAGACAGAAATGTTCCATTTATCGTTTCATCGTTTTGAAAACTTTACTTTTTCTAACAAAATTCATACAAGTATATTCTTTTAGAAAGTGGGGTACTGCACCTCCGGATGAGTAATACACAAAGCAAGACCACGAATATTTCACGAACGGGAAGCGCTTAAATAACAGTAAACCATAACTGTTGTTATCCTTATAGGTACCCAATTTCTATGTATAAAAAGGCTGCAGCAGTTTATAAGCCACCCACAAATTATCACCACTAAAAGACCAATATGACCTATTATATTCAAACTTGAACTCACCACAGACTCGTTCGATAGTCCTAAAACTTCCCCAATGTCGTCATCTTTGTCTTCACAGAGTAGGCCAATATGCTTGGCGGACTTGTCAGACAGTTTGGGTTCGATTTCCTCTTGCGGATACGACGCTTCTGTTTCTTCACTCAGCTTTGAACATTCTACAGCCTTAAACAACACATAGTTAACGTCACAGTTATTTCCACAGTTTCAAACGAAACATAGTCAAAAACGTTCTGTTGCACTAAGTACGGATGAAAATTGAACAACTTTCTTAGCAAAACGAGCCAAAGCCTCAAAAACTGCAGTCAATACAGGAAAGTGGTAGGGATAAAGGATAAAGTTCTCAGCGCTCATCAATCCCTGAGGCATGCGCCATGCATTCGACTTCACTGATCATCGTTGAAGGTCAGTGAATTAATATCTGCCTTTACAATAACTCGCGGTGGCCTACCGACGTATCGAGCCAGTGCTACTATCTTCCGAGTCAGGTCTGGTCAATCTGCCGGCACCGGAGGGAAGGAAGACTTGGTGAACCTGGGTTAAGAGATCGATCCCATGTGTATTGCAGTGCGCTTCCGACCACTGCGCTACAGCCAAAAAATGGGTTTAATTCTAACAGAAATTCATAAAGAAAAATCGAAGAAAATCCCCACTTCGATTGTTAGATTGAACTCCTCAGCACTTTCGATTTGAGCAACAATCATACTCATTTCAGCAATGTCCTCTTCGTCCATCAACGAATATGACTGATCAGGAAGAGCTCGAGCAACATTCGCTGGCTCCGCAGCTTGTCTTTGCTGTACGTCATGGACAGCGTTCGCCATTCTTCTGGATGTATTGAAACCATCAGTTCTGCCTTCCATCTAAAACGAAGTAAACTTAAGCAAGATGGCTAAACAATAATAGTCATCCAAAGTTAGTACGGCGGGTAAAGTCTCACAGTTCGAAATAACGAAACATCCACAGACATAATGGCACACGACGTAAAAGAAAGAAAACAGGAGAAACGATTACTAGTTAAACATTTAACAGGTATAAAGTATACGAGTATGAAAGCGTTCAAAAATGCGATGGTCGCGCCAGTCGCGACGCAAACGCACGCGCGCCGCAGCGTTCTCGATGGGGCAAGAAGTCAGCTACCTATGTCATGTTTCACACTTGATAGAGTTCACCATTATTTTTTCTTTTTACTTTTTACATAACCCGTAATCACATCTGCTTTGCTCATCCTAGCACTCCTTGCATCCCATTCATTCTTTCTTATTGTTCACCGTCTACAATGGTCTTCGAACATTTCGAGTGTTGTTTCAGATGCTGCTTGATTTCGTCCTTATGAATGTCGTGGAACACTGGTGGAATCAATTCTCTTTGCAATTTTGGAGATAGCCTGTGTAAGGCGTCCCCACGTGGATTGGAGGAGAGCGTTGAGTCGGAGATTGAGCTAGCGCCTTTGGTTTTGCCTTTGCCCGACGGCATCACCAACAACTGGTGTCCGAATCATAGTAGTGGTAAAAAGAAGGAGAGAAACTTTAGCCGAGTAGGGCGGGATAAAACATAGCACCGGGGAGGAATGAATGGCTACAGGACGATTCGCGAAAGTTTCAGCTTGAAAACGACGAAAAACAAACCAAAAAATTGAAAGGTACTTCTTGTTCGAGTAAAAGAGAGGATGATTTGTTGTAAGTTGCTGAGTCAGCATTCCATTGCAACAACATCGATGCTCTTTCAAAATAACGGAGAGACAGGCTAAACGATAAAAGAAATAGATGACATCAATTGGGAGAGAGAATTATAACATGAGAGAGAAGTTAAAAAGGGATACAAAAAAGTGATAATTAGAGAGACATGGACTTGGAATGATTAGGTGTCAACCGTTAAAGAAAGGATAGGATCAGAGAATGAAAGGAAAGGAGACGGAATGGAAAGTGCTTGCGACAGTAACAAGAGATGACCATGAGGTGAAATGAAATATAGAGGCGCAAAGGAGAGGAAAGTAAATGGAGAGAGAGAGAGCGGTCAGTATTTCAGGAATCGTTTATGCCAAAGGGGTTTTTGTAGAAATAAAAGACGTTCTTTGCACCAAATGCCTTCGCTTTTCAGATTCTATTAGGTACTTTATAGAAACATCGAAAGTTGACTAATTTAAGTTCCAGGTTAACTAAGTTCAAAGCCGATTTGTGCTCCTCAGATCATTCTCGTTGAAGGGTAATCACTAGAACACCATTAGAGTAAAAAACTGCGTAAGAGAAAGTCAACGCAAGGCTTTCGATGGTGCAGTGGGCAACACGTGAGCCCTCAGACACGGTAATCACAGGTTCTGAGCCTAACGGATGTCTCGAATTTTCCTCATATCTCAGCATCCTTATTGTTGAGTTTAAGCCTTTTAAGGGGTTCACAGTATCTGCAAGGACTACATATAGATAAGTGATATATCGCGTCAATGATTAGAGGAGCTTCTAGTTTCTGAGCAATGGAAAATCATTCCTGCTATCACTATACTTGATGCTTGATACTTCAACGGCCCGGCCTCATTGGTTGTGGAGCCCCGGCATAATCTCCATTTTTCGGAGATTTGCTGGTTAGGCCATTTTGGTTCCCATGGAATGGCAGCCTGGCCAAAGTCTGCACCAGGTCTTCACCACCACAGGCAGTCACAGCTCTTGAGGTTCAGAGGTAGGCTTGCCACCATGCGACTTTGATACCAGGAGGGTGGTGGATCCTGGTATTGGTTTACTCTTAGCTAGGCTTCCTGATGGAAACGCCGGACTCCTTCTCGGCTTGGAAGACCCTACCAGGGGATGATTCCCCCGCTGTACATCGCAGCCCGACACCCAGGAACACCTCCCAGCCACGATGAGGTGGTAAACCGTTGGGGGCTTCGCGTTCGCTTCGCATGCGAGAAGTCCGTGAGCGAAAGACAAAGAAAGTAAAACACACTGTTTTTTTCGTTTCTGACATAATAAACTACCTTACCATGGGTTTAAATCTACCAGAATTTGCCGGAAAAAAAGCCTGAATCATATTTTTTGGTGAAGATTCAATAGAGGAATCTAATACTACAGTAACATTGAGGGTGGGTACCAGTTAACGGATTTTTATAAAGAATAAGGATAAAGTATTTGGCGTTGATCAACCTCTCATGGATCTGCCATGCATTCAACTTCACTAATGAATGAATATCTGACCTATAGAGTGACTTGCAGTAGCCTACTGGCGCATCAGGTCAGTGCTTCTATCCTCTCGGACAACTATGGTAGCGATTTATCGACTCCGTAAGGATGAAAGATTTGGCTAGCCTAAGAGGCTAGAGATAATCTGAAGTAGAGTAAGTCTGCATGGCTAACAGTCTTAGTATGAGAAACAAAGGCAAAACTAAAGTATTACTCAGAATTATCTACATTTCACATGATGATGTTGCTCGAAATGTAGCGCTTCGTTGAAAATTCAATTAAGAGGTAATGTAGGAAAGTGTTTAACGTCTATTGACATGCGTAAAGCTAAAAGGATAGAGCTCTCGACGTTGATCAATCCCTAAGGGATGCGCTATGCATTCGACTTCAACAAGTATCGCTTGGAGGTGATTGAATGAATATTTAGCCTTTACAATGAATGACTCGCGGTGACCTACCGATGTATCGAGCTAGTGTTGCTATCCTCTCAGGCAAGTCTGGTATCAATATGCCGACCACGGAGGTATGGAAGGCTTTGTAGGCCATAGGCGCGAGGATCAATTCCACGTGTGTCTTGCAGGGCGCCTCCGACCACTGGGCCACACGCGCCCTCTAACTTGTAATAGCTACTATTAATTACAACAGTAAAAATAGTTACATTTTGCTAGTCTCGCCTACGATCTTACGTACCCGGAAACAGTCACAGCCTTCATTTAAACGTTAAAGTTCTTGCCTAAAATAAACAGTCTTCACACAGGTCATACCGTTTGCATGTAGACTGGACTAAGTCTATTGAAGCATTCTGAACAATAGTTTTTCCTGGAACTACTGCACCTACTACTAATATCTCTAGCGCTTACAGCAGCTTGCTTTCCAACGTGCCACCTGATCAAGTGTGTCCACGAAAAGCTTTCTATGGTTATGGCTTTCATTCAGTTCCAGTTTTGACCGACTGGATGGGAGAGAAGCTTCGTGAATCGTGAACAGCATAATAATGTCCTACTTATCTTCCCATTTCAGGACTGTTATACTGCTACGATTCTGTTGCACTACAAACTGTTCACTATTCAGCTTCAAGTAGATAGCTTATTTGAGAAATTCTCTTCTGTATTTCTTACAGCTGCCAAATGCCAGAAAAAAATACCAATAAGATGGCCCAATTTCCTTCGATAGGCCCTCCGCCAAAGAAAGGCTCTAAGAGGCAGAAGACGATTCTACTTCGGAACTGCACGATAGGTTCGTCAATACGTACATACTTTCCAGGTTTTCATATTGTACTGCAGTTTCGGTTGATAACATTGATTAATGAGCTAATCCTGTATAATCTCCCTTGTCAGTCCCAAATTGCGTCGTCGTCAAAGCGGAGGTTTGCCAACGGACTTTCAAGTCTATTTCTCGCCATAACAGGGTCTACAATAGGATGGCGTTCAAAAGCAAAATTCGCACTACTCCGACAATCTCTAGAATGTGAAATTAAACAATGTTATCTTAAGGGAAAACCGGTCAGTCTTTTCAGCTCGTTAACATGTAACGCTGCCCACACCATATCCTTCTCTAGAGCATATCTGATGGTTTTTTTCACGAAGAGCTCCCAATTCATTGACGTCACCAGTTTTTGCACCTATTGATCAAACTTTACTTGATCCATACGTACTCGGAGGCAGTTACATCTTTCAATAAGCATATCTCTTGTGTCATAATTAGCTTTACAAATTGAAGTAAAAACTGTCGGAATCCAGAAATCTTTGCCAGCAAATACAGTTCTCTTATTCGACTGCGATCGAGGTCCAGTCTTTATGAAAGTTATACATTTAAAATACCAATCAAACTTTAGAAAACTGCCACCTTCATTTAAAGTGATAAAGAAAACTCTTCTTTCTCCAAGCTTTTTAGGCTAGAAACATCGTAAGTACTCATGATATATTTACTTATGTGATCTTATAAACTGATCTTCTTAAGCTGACGCGAGGTTGGTACAGATCTTCGTTGTCGTTGTCGTTGTCGTTGTCGTTGTCGTTGTCGTTGTTTTTGATGTTATTGAACGATGGCTGACGTTTCGGCGACTTCGCCTTCCTCAGAGCCGTGATGTTACGTGCGGAATCAGTTTATAAGATCACATAAATAAATATATCAACTATCTATGCCGAGGTTCATAGAAAGTCGGTCTTTCGAGTACTCTTGATACTTATAACTACTTGATACTTGAACGGCCCGTCCACACTGGCTGTGCGTGTCTCAGCAAAATCACTATTTTTTTGGTCATTTGCTGGTTAACCCACTGTGGTTCCCTGGAATTCCGAGGTCATCCTGGCCAAAATCTGCCCCAGGTCTTCAACACCACAGGCAGTCGCAGTCCTTGTGGATCAGAGGGAGATTTGCCACCATGCGACTCTGATACTAGGACAGTGGTGGACCTCGTATCCCTTTACTCTCAGCTAGGCTTCCTGGTGGAAACGACGAACTCATTCTCAGCTTAGGAGACCCCGCCGTGGGGACGATTCCCTCCGCTGTACATCGAAGTCCGACATCCAGGAACACCTCCCAGCCACGATGAGGCGGTAAACAGTTGGGAGGCATAAGTACTCTAGTTGTCGAAAATTAGAGACACTTAGAGAAAAGTCATCATCGCTGATGTAGGGAGTACGAAGTTCTAT